CTTGGAATATGCGAAGGCAGATGGAATGGGAGTAGACTCACCAAATTGTCAACGGGAGAGTCGATGATCTACTCCGGTCACCCTGAAGACAACTACATGCACACCGAGGGTGCGGCTATCATGATGTCACCAACGGCAACGAAGGCCCTGATGCAATCGGAGGCGATCTCGCCCAGGATAATGACCGCCAGATTCAACTCTAAAGGAAGGAAAGTGTCAGTTATACAATGCTATGCACCCACAAACAACGCAGACCTCGAAAAGAAAGAAGAGTTCTACAGATAACTACAGGCAACAATGGACAATACTCCAGTTGGTGACATTAAAAATACTGATGGGAGACACAAAAGCCAAACTGAGACCAGACAACACAGGAAGAGAACTCATCATGGGTAGATGGGATCTAATGAAGCATAAATTGCAACTTCCACCAATCTGATTAGAGTACAGCCATCCACTGCTGGTAGTGAGCATCTGTTCTTACCAGTAACCCTATGAACTTCAACGATTACATTACCTCTTCATCTGAGGTTATTCTTTGATGAAATCTAATTTGAAATCAGTCAAACCTCGATAACTCAACACTTGAAAACCTTTTTGTTCTGATCTACAGTAGGTTACGTAATCCACGAAAACACAAAATTATAATTCAATTAGATTTCTGGTTGTAATCACTGTTAGAAAACACCTCTGTAACGTACCAGTTTACAATATCGGTTTATCACAAAGTGATTTGGAAACCGCCTCAACATTACGCGGTATCCCAAAACTTTAAAAGCCTCATTTAACAGATATATGATGATGTCACATGTTCAATAATTCACGACGGGAGATTTAGTGACAGCCTTTGCATTGAAGATAGGAGTATGACAAGGTTGCCTATTATTACCGATTATACACCTGATTGTTGTGGACCAGATTATGCGGCAGACCGTGCATGCGAGAGAGAAGAAAAGAATACGTCGGACCGATACGAAAACTCTGGAAGATCTGAACTTACCGGCCGATCTATGTTTGATTTCACACAAACTTCAGGAGTTACAGACGAAAACCAACAAGTTCTCAGAAGAAACAGACAGAAGAGGAAGAACTTCAAGTGAATACGGAGAACACAGATGTAATGAGGACACCCAACAACCAACAAATAAAATCGCCATCAACCGCTGCCAACGGGAGAAATTTGAAGGCGTCAGTCAGTTCTTTTATATGGTGCAGAGACTTGAAATGTCACCATACCTAAGATCAGATGGTTAAAAAGGATCAGCAATATGGAACGCTTGCAATAAACCAACAAAGAGCCTATTACCTAACACATATACAGAGGGGAATTGAAATAGACCGGACACACGTTGAGGAGACTGTGACATCACATGCCAAGTCCTCGAGTGGGAACTGAAATGGAAAGGACGAGTTGGGCGTGTGTCCGAGGGTAACATGGATAAAGAGGTGAAAACTTATACGCAAGGAAAAGATCTCGCATCTGACCATTTCTATGTGCAGAAATCAGCTCAACTGCTGCTGCGGAGTCAAGTATATCGGTCGTTCGACGCGCATCCTGTCCAAGAGGATTCAAGAACACTATCCACATGGTTGCGAAAGCAATAGTGGTGCTATAAGGAGTGCGATAATTGAACACCTGGTTAACACTGATCATTCCATCTCAACAAACGCCTCCTCTTCAAAGTAATCACAGAGTCAAGAATACCTACCAAAGGCAATACGCTTTCGTATTCTTTGTATCGCTGAATCTCTGGCCATTCGTATAGAAAAAACTGGAGCTGTGCATACAAAAGAGAATTACTCAACCACTTTTATTATCGTGGTAACAACTTTGTTGATTTCTGATGACTGAATTTTTTGTTTGCCTGTTTCTTTAATTGCTTATAATTCTTGTATCCATTTAGAACTCTTATACGATTTCTTATTTTGAGTACAACTCAATCATCAAACTATTCATATTATTACATAGCTCCTTTTTAACAACTATTTGTGACAACTCGCCACCTTTATTACTACCCTAATTTCATTAACATCCAATTTTCTTGACCCAAAACTTACTAATTTTCACCTGTTTAGTTAAAATAACCAATAACCAATTGTATGTATTTTTGTTTGACAAACTTAATGTACACATGCATACAAAATAACTCATGTACATATTTGCGATTGTATAGCTAAGTGTAATGAATTCGCCGCCGAAAAGAGACTCTTCGCTGAACTAAGCGTTTTGTTTTCATTAATGCCTGGATGGGGATTATCCATGAATGATACGCAATCGTCGAGCCGCCTAAAATAAATTGTGGATAACAGGATGACACGGAGATGTACTGTCGAAGTCTAACGTTCCACTCGGAATAATAATGATAACAATAGTTGCATGGTTAAGTAACTGACCTAACTCAGTTAGACAATCGTTGACGTAAACAGGTTCCTGGGCTAAGAGTTGATTGCATTCTTATTTTTCTGATAAAGTGCAGTATACTGCATATAATGGCAAATCTCCTTCTGCCTCGCTTACAAAAGTCGGTGTTCCTCAAGGTGCCATGCTCTCTCCTTTTCTTTTTTCTTTCTTCCTACACGACCTGCCTCATTGAAACGAAACTAACTTTGTCAAATATGCGGATGATTTGACTGTATCACTGCCTATCACTTCCGAGTCTGACTGCTCCAAACTTAATAGCTTTCTGTTGGACATCAGCAAGTGGGTGAAGTTAAATGGTCTTATGTTAAATCCTTCCAAATGTCAGGCAGTTAACTTCACTGTCAAGCATCCACGTGACATCCACGAACTAGTTAGTTCCCAAGTCAAGCATTAAATACCTTGGATTAGTTCCTTCCTCTGACCTTTCATGGTCATCCCATATCTTATCAATCTCTAAGAAAATGTTTCGTCTTACCTTCTACATTAAAAGTTAAGACAATCAGGTATCAACCAACCTTTGCTTCTGCAGTTTGTAAACTCGTGTATTTTATCTATTGTACTCTATTGCTCTCCATGAATCTTTCCTGGGTTTCTCAAAAAGGACTATATCACATTACAAAGGGTATTAAATGCTGTGAGTAGGTCTTTTGGTATGCCACTGCGTGAGCTCACCAATATTATAGTCGAGAGATACATAAATTCCTGTACAAAATGGGCAAAGGCTGTACTGTCAGACCCCCCGCACCCCCTTGATTCACAACTATCCCCTTGTATCTCATCAGGTAGGACAAGAAGTCTATATAAGAAGCTATATGCCCACACCACTAAGTACAAAAATTCTACAATACCCTATTTAGCCCGTATTTTATGTGATGAAGACACAGTTAGATGTGGTACATATAAGTTACTATGTAATTAGCAAAGTCAGTCGACCCTTTCATCAGTCATCTTTCTGTAATTTTATGGTGTCACCCTTTCTACCGTCTCATTATAATTTAGCGATTTTATTCTAGTTGTTATTACCATTATTACTATAATTCTATACTTTATACTCATTTTTCTTCCTATCGCATACTGTAATTTACTACATAGCTGCTATAACAACGTTTTGTTATTATTATTATTATTATGTAATGTTTATTTTTATTTTTTTGTCGTTTTGAGCAAATTAGATGCAATATTGTACTGAATGCTGAAAATTCCTTGCTGTATCATTAGTACTGTTTTTGGAATAAAGCAAAAATTACCATTATTATTATCTAATAAATAGGGGTATATATATATAATCTCCTAGTAAATAAACCAAATATTACTGATATTATTACATGAATCATGAAGACAACATTTACATGTAGGTTTTACATATAGGTTACGTAACCGGTGTTACAATCTACTCTGTGTTTCTTGTCGAAAAAAACAATACTGTCCACTTTATTACGTAATATACTACTCCCATTACTACTTGCTAGTTTGAAACAAAAATGCTAGAATGAAGAGTAAGCGATAATCAAAATAATTAAAACGAAAAAAGTATAAAGTACAATGAACAAAAAGTCAAAGAAAACACAAAAATCAATTTTGGCAATCACCTGATAGTAGTTGTATGAAATAAAGTTACTTATTAAGTAAGCCATCAGTCAGCTAACAAAATAACCGGGTATCATTTTGGCGGATTTAAACAAAGAGTTTAAGAGGAGTATCGTTTTCTGCGCTTTACTTGAATAAACATAATAACAATAGTGATAGTGTAGTTCTAGAGATAATAAGCTTTTATTGTTTATTAGGGAATTGTATTTTTAAACCATTGGACAAAATCTGTTTGTTTAAATCGTTCAATTACCGTTCAATGTGGTATTTAAAAATAGAGCGGACAATTCAAATTTATTGTATGCTACAGTGTTGAATGAATCGATTGATTTTGTAGGACTGTTTGCTTAAATTAAATAAGTTACGATAAAACCATAAGGCTCTTAAAAATGAAATGAAGCAAATACAGGTCGTGATGAACGACACACACACACGCACACAGACACACTGAGTCATCAATTGTAGGAATACATGAATGAGGTGAGTGAACATTCAAGAAAGTGAAAGTATGTACACAGAGTCAGAAGGGGGGCGGATAGGACAGATTACTTGTTTCTGGTACCAAGAATAATATTTTACTGATATTTTCATTAATATTAATAATATAAATAAATTAGAAAGCGACCCTTAATTGAGGAATATATGTGTATATATATGGTTTTCAGATGATCGTTGAAGGAGACAGGAAGAATCCATTTTGGACCAAATGTTGCATTTACGATGATTACTCATATTCACATATTTATCTATGCCTCTATATAAAATATGGCACTTCGCACATTGACGTAGTTTCAGCAAATGGAGGATAGTAAGGAAGAAGAGTTGGCCTATAGAGTCATTTTTGATGAGATTGAAAAGAAGACAATCTCATAAATGTAATAAAGTTGACAAATTTATATGACACTGAGGAGGCTCTGACACATACGAAACCGCTTCCGACATCTGTCACCCCTCTCAAACCCTTACCCTCTCCTTCATATTGCCTTGACAGTCATCGTGTTAAACGTAATAAAGAGTTGGGAAATGTTTCTTTAAGAAAATTTACACACTGTCCGAGTTTTCTTTCATTCATCGCATAGATATGACATTGGTATTTAATTTTTCCACGTTGTATAATACCCCCACCGCCGCCGCCACCACCAGCATTTGTAGAAGATAAACGTTCTGGTCGGCTGAATGGTCCACTGATCTGGATTTCACAATTATTTTTCGTTGCAATAGCCTTGATTCTACGATCTGACGTATTTAAATAACTCTTCACTAGATCATCATATGGGCTTAATTCAAATATTTCTTGATGCCAGGTGTTAACATCATTCGGCAGTGTCGAGGAGTTGTCTTTACTGTTGTAGGAAGGTTTTTTCAACTTTATGTTGGATAAAGTTGAAGTTTGTTGTTGAACTGGCTTTTTTGAAAGTTTATTATTCTGTGAAATATATGATAAACGTTTACATGTATTACTTATATTAGTGCTAGTAGTATTAGTAGTAGTGTTAGTCGTCGCGGTTGTCTCACTCGACTGTTGTTTATTCAGCTTGAGTACTGGGGGTTTACGATTCCCATTTTTATAGGTGTCATGACGATTTAGCAAGTTTTTCGGTGGTACCGGCGTATTGCTCAACTCTTTGCTATTAGTACACCTTGGATTTGTTGAATTTATGGTATTCATATGAATTCTGTCTAAGGAATAGGAACGATTAATTATTGATTTATCAAAAGTTGTTTTTCCCCTTCTTGTTGTTGTTGTCATTGTCGCTGACTGCTTTCCTCTCTCTGGTATTGTCATCACCGTCGATCTACACTGGCTTGCATACTTTTGAATATTGCCAGGGATGAGTATATTCTGTGGTTGAATCTCTTTGTATGCCCACTTAGTATTGTACAGCTTATGTGTATTAAGAATATTTTCACTATTTGATCGTAAAATATTACTCATCATCAACTGACCTGGTGAAATACATTTTTGATTTTTCCTCGCCTCACTTGATGAATAGTATTCCTCCAGACAATTTGACTGTACAACTTTGCCGACACGATTTTCTACAAACATACTTCTCTGTCGTTGACGTTCATTACTTTCTGAAATAGGGAACATTTGCTTAGAGGTATTGTGTCTTTTAGACATTATTGTTGATGATAAAGATTCCGATTCTGATTCTGATGACGACGATGTTGTATTCTTTGAAGAATACAAATGTCTATCCCCGTCATTGTCATCATGAAATCTCGGTACTTGACATTCTGAACAAGTACATGATGAATTGTAATCGTTACAGTCTTTGCATGGAAGCGAAGATTCTAATGGATTCAAGTCTTTTGTACATTTCGACGCATTGGACCTCATATTCACTGGGTTTCTTTTCAGTGAATAAGCCATTTGTTCTACCAGCCATTTATGTAAGATGTCATATTTATCATTTTCATTGACCATTTGAAGCAGATTATTAATTCGTGAAGTTGTTAGGCACTGTTTCCCTTCAGATGACTGTTTTTTATCTTTATTAGGCTTTGAATTAACCGCCTTTCTATCAGAAGCAATTGAACGTGAACCTTTGTTTACGTTACCATCATCGTGTCGCAGACGCCTACGCTGTTTATCACACATAGACTTCTTACAACTAGTTTGACATTTGTTCAAACATCTTTCACCTTCAACTTCATGTGTAGACTTAATATTCGACGGTAGATGACGTGACTCCGATGATGATGATGGAGAGGAGGAAGAGGTCGACGACGCCAGATTCTTTTCACACCGTGAACAACACGATGATGTGGTTGATTTTTCAGAGGGAATATTTTGTACAGATTTAGTACATTTCCCTTTCATTTGATCCATACTAGCATTATTCCCATGACAAGAGATTTCACAGACATTATCACATGAAATTGACTTTTTACCTTCAGAATTCTTTGATTTCACTGCATTCCTGGCTTGATGACATCTACTGCATACATAAGTTTTACTTTCTGTAAGTGTATCTAATGAATTTTGGGAATCACACTTCACCAGTTCCTTATCATTCTGATTATGTAATTGAGTTTCATCAGGATTACAAGTTCGATTGGGTGTTTTTTTAATTGACAATGAGAGATAAACACTCTGTTGTTCTATAGTGTCATTCTGTTCAAGATCTTTAGATTTCGGAGTCGTTGTACCTTCAACAAATACCACTTTGTCGTAATAACCGCCTGCGTTGTGATGTACTCCGATAACTTCGTTGCTGGGTGGTTTGAGTATTGTTTGATCTAGGGGGCTGATCAATGTGTTCTTTTCACTTCTACATGTAGGGTATATCTGACATACAGACACTTCAAATGGCGATTTCAGATCAGAGTGTTCTGAGGCGAATTTATTCCTTTTTTGTACGTCTAAACTGTTATCACCCATACCTTTGTCAATTGATTGAGTATTCACCTGTTTTGTATGGTGCATTATGCGTTTCATATTTTGTCGTATAACACTATAGACACTTTTATTCGCTTCTGGTTGTATACATGAGTGAGAAGAATGTTTATTCCAAAAGGTGAAGGAGTTTTTTGTTTTATTACTGTATATACTACTTTTGCTACTATTACCACTACGTATACTACTATTATCAAACATGCTATAGGCATTTTGATGAAGCATTCTAGGTATGTAGGAATTTGTTGTTGTTGGTGGTTTGTTCTGTTGGAAAGATAAAATTTGTGGAACTGTTAGTCATTAGTATGGTGGAATTATCTCGAAGACATCGTGCAACTGCTGATGGTTGCGTGAAATTCTTCTTTTTCATTCGATGTTCAAATTCTTTTGTCAGGTAGTCAAAACCAGTTGGCAATGGTAATTTTGATAATTTATCAACATTTTCCAGTGACACTGAACTTTCTATGCACTGACATGTGGGAGGTTTCAATTCCTAGAGAAAGGTAAGAAAAACAAATAACTCAGAATAGTTGATTGTGTAGACGATAAGTAACAGTAGAGTTATATGTCGTGAAATGGCAGAAGTTCGAGTTTATCTTTTGGTCATTAGATTCACTTCGAGTAGCTCAATGATCAACGTACTGTCATTGCAATCTAAAGATCTTGGGTCTCATGCCTCCATGGTGTCCTGAGCTCATACTGTGGTGAGAGCTGTCTACAAGCCAAGATTGTAGACAACAATTTACATCAATGTTTACGACCCCTAGTCGGGGTCATGAGAACTTACCAACCAATCACAGCGGACCTAACGCGTGCAGATACGATTCGCAGATATATGGCTTAACTTTCTAAGAAACGGTCACAGGCAGTACAGAATAACCTTCAGCAAATAAAACAATCAACCAGAAGACTTTCGTTCTCTGCTAAAATAACAAATAATAATGTACATAAAAATCTTTAAATGTCTGTTGATTTTCTCAATAAACGATCTGTTGCTTGGCTCTTGTCTTCTGCCGTTACAATACTACTAAAGAGTTCGAAGCTAGCACAAAACAGCTGTCTAGTATTCCCTGGTTTTCAGTGGTTCTTTGAATGATATCACTTCGAAATCTAATTTGAAACTAATCAAATCCTTGCAAACCGACACTTGAAGATAATCCTTAGGGGTTTCTTGAACCCCTACTGTAAAAGAGGTGGTCTTCATAGCCCGATTTCCTAGTGGATAACGTATTGTGGCATTTGAAATGATGACTGATTAGTTTGAGTCTTAGTGCGAACACCATTACTCAAGGAGTACGTAGTCGCATCTATCTGAGGAGTTCAAATATTGGTGAAACAGGCATCTAGGAATTTACAATCAGCCATGAACAACAAGGTAATATCAGTTAAACTAATTAAAAGCCATTTTATTTGTCTCAAAAGTAGGAAGCAAAAGTTAATAAAGTTTTTCAACCTGAAATTTTGAATTTTCATATCTTAAAGATCATCTTGTGAGTGATGCTCACCAAAACGTAATTATGGAGTCACACTGCTTCTGAATTCATTCTGCACAAAAGTTGAAACTAAATGCAATGTTAAATACCTTTAACTGCTTATCTTCTATGATCTTTTCTGGTCTTCCCACATCATATTAATTTCTGGAAGCATGTTTCGTTTTACCTTCAAATTAAGGAAATTACAATTTACAATTTATTAATTCCTGGA